ACATGATGACGCTAAACGACGAAAACGACGGAGGTTCGGTAGGCAGAAAGTCAAGCGATGTGACGAATATTCTGTGCGTTTGTTTCCAGCACTTAAGCAGCGTCAGGTCAGTCGACCTGATGATCGTTACGCTTCCGTCCATTGATCCAAGTCCTATGTAACGTCGGCATGAGCTGATACACATCGAACACACCACCTCATCGGTACATTTGTTGCACATGGACGGTCGGCATGAATTATGCTTAAGCTGCCATACGGTCAAGAAGCAGTCGCTCTTGGCCGCACTGCGTTGCAACGGAATCGAGCAGGTGACGAATACGCACTCGTCCTGCGGTGGTGTACGATCACCGGCCACCGTCGACAGAAACCTGCAAAACCGAAACCTATAACCTTTAGGCACAAAGCAACCGTCACTGTGCTTGGTCAGTTCGCAGCGTTCGGAACCGTCATTCGTCTGCCAGACATGCGCACCTCCACCACGACCGACAGAAACGATGCTTTCACCGTTTGGGCTAACGTCCAGGTCGTCGACGTCTGTCGTGTAAGCACGGATATCCGTGAGCTTGTTCAGGGTCGGCAACTGCCATACACGTACATGACCGTCCGCACCGCCGGTTACCATAAACTCAGCGTGTGGACCGAAACGAACTACCTTCTGATACGGACCATAGAATTTGCTGACCTCGGTGAAGTCCGTCTGCACCGAAGATACGGCACTGAACGCCAGGCTGAGTTTTGCTGTATCGAAAACTTCATTCCGATCCGAAAATTTTCCGCTGACAGCCGCAGACGACAACGAGTCAAGCACATGAGGCTCGTCGTTCTCTACCACACACGCTGCATAGTTCGTCTTGAACAACTGGCATTTGCCTAAACGACACACAGCCTTTCAGAGGACTGTCAAAAACCAGTGTAAAACGAAGTCAAATACGATAACAACAAAACAAACATAAATACATAAGCAAAATAATAAATCGTCAAAGCAAAAATTATCGTAGCAGCAGCCGGAACAAATGACAATCACGCTAAAACGCCAGTTAAGCACCCGATCGAAATATTTAAAATCCTAACAGGTTTTCAACTTTTAAAAAAATAAGCTTCCAAAGATTTCCGTAGTTCGCCAGTTAACAGTCTCTAGTCATTCATGATCTAAAAACTCTGTACACTTGGAAGATGACATATAGCGCAATATTTGCCTGCTATCACAAAAATAGTATAAACACCTCTGCAGATGAAGCCATATTTCCCAGTCTAGTGTGATGGGAAATGAATAACTGGTGCAGAAACATCGTTCGCGATCAGCAAGGTATTGTTTTAGCTGGTAAAGCGATGCTAAATACGTCCAGCACTGCAGTTTTTAATCTACTATGAAACTATGGCCGTGTTAACTGTGCGACAGGGTCTAGGAGCATCGAGGTAGTACAACACGTCATCTGTGAAATCTGCCATTAGAGGAGCCATTCGCATACGTGTTAAATGCAACATTCCAAATACAGCACAAAACCCAAGTTAAGATTCTTGACGTTTTAAACAGACTGAGTAACATTTCACAAATAAGATCGCAAACTGTGTTGTATATGACTTTAAATGATATGCACATGCCCGAAGTATCATATGAAATCCATTCTATGGGCTTTAGCATCAATTACTTGACTTTTTAGTGCAGATATATAGAATCTGTCGATAAGATGCTTTATCATTATAACTGTCGATGATAATAAGGTGACAACTATTAAACTTACGGCAAATTTCAAGGACATTGACGGCTAACAGTGACCCGCATCGCTGTTTAAGGCGGCTCTGCTCTGCTCCTCAATTTTTAATTTCAGAAATCAACGTAATGACCGATACAGCGGCCGTAAATAACTCGATAAACGAAACTTTTGGCCTCCTTGCTTGAGCAGCGATCAAACTACTTATATGATTGCATTGTATAAAGTGCTACCTCTGTCAAAAAGCAATAAAGTTTACGGCGTTACTCGAATATATTTCTTCGATAAACGATATGCAGATACGCAATTTATAAACGGATGGTGGAGACGGCTAAATCGAGGGTGCTTGAATACGAAAGCAACAAAGTACTTCACGTGTTAACCTAAGTATGTTGGAACTGGTCGTTAAGCCGCATGCCGTCCGTACGGACAAAACAACATGCTAAAGTAGTGCCAGAACAGGAGTAAGAGAAATGACTTGGTCGCCCATGCCACTTAAAAACCGTAACAACCTTGACATCACTGGCACCCAGCATTCTTAAAATCAAGCTAACGCTAAACGAGTCTTCATATATCACTGCAAGGGTTAGACTTACGGCCTGTAATCGATGATACGTCAAGAGCTTCGCTCGCATGATACTCTAACGTAAAGGGCTAAAGGCATTGCCGGAAAGGCCGACGAGTTTCAAGCTCGGATATTTACCGTATGGTGATTACTCGTGTAGTAAGCAATTAGCAATCAGTTATCGATCGACCAAAAAAGTTGATCTGGCGATTAATTACTAGCTCTGCGGAACCTGCTTAATGGCTTAGCACAAGCAACAACTACTTTGCAAAAAGTATGCCAGTGAACACGGAAAAGGGGACCACTTTTAGACACTGATGCACAAACGCAACAGAAATAGCCCATGAACGTGGCATGCACTAACGTGACGAAAGGAAGGTAAAAGGAACGTTTGTAATCGTGTGAATGGCGACCATCCTTACAGTTACTGACGGGACAAATTTTAGCACCCTTTAGACACAAATTTAACAGTGGGGGGTGCTGATTCAGATTTTCATGTCACCAGTCAGAAATGCCTTACCGCATTTTAAAGTCGGAATTAACAGCAGCTATGTGAACAAGCGCAGTTTATATACTCCTGTTTCTTTTTGACTCATTTATCAAAATCGGAAGGGAGACAAACAAGTGACCCCGACTCTGGATCGAACGCAGGATCTTTGGTTCTGAGCTGGACGCTCTACCTACCAATAACACCCGTATCAAGCAATGTGCGATAAATTCCTTGCTCAAAGGAATTTGTGATGACGACAAAGATTGCTCGCCGTTGTAACTGAACTCGTCATCTCCAGAGTTCGAATTCGAAGTCGACCTCCTATTTCGCACTGTGTCGCCACAAGGCAAAGACTGCGACTGCGGCGTTCTCTAGCCCTTTGTTGCAATAAATTCCTCGAGTGCTAACGTCTTGTAGTACGCAATGTCTTACTCGATTGTTTACTAACTCATGTTAAAAACTATTTCTTGGCTTCCAGTGGCACACCCGTCTTATAACATGAAAACAAACGCCAAATACGTCAACAGGGCATACGTGTACATGAAAACAAACAAACAATGACGTTCGTTCGTGTCAGAATACTGACAAGGAGAAAAAGTGGTAAATATGTTTCAGCTACCGCTAAGTCGACAAGTCAGCGAGCGATGAAAAATATCACACATCTATGCAGATTTCAGTGTGACAACAGAAAATTTTGCATCAAACGCTCAACCTCGAATCACTCAATCAATGTTTTTTACCTTGTCATGAGCGAATAAATCATGCAGACATGGTTTTAAAACGAGTAGCACTACCCCCAAAAGACTGACCATTTAACCAAGATATGGATCGATGCTATTTGAGCCTTGCGACAGTGTTATCCAATTTGCATCACTTTACTAGCCACAGCTTTGCTTTGTTTGCTAGCGAAGTTTTAGAAAACGCTTTCTTCACATTTTTCATTCTTTTCAAATCATTACAATTTCGGTTCGCTGCTTCCTCGTTTCTATTTTTTTTTAATATATTTTTGCTTCTTCGTAATCGAAAAAAAGCTGCTTTACATTGGTTTGATATGGTTCCTGATTTTTACAGTCGCGTCTGTGTCTTTCAGCAGAAGGTGACCTACTTCCTTTCTTCCTGCTATACTTTTATTCCCCCCCCCCCACTTAAGGAGCGCTTAACATTCAGGATTGTAAATTCGACAAAGGATGCTTAAACGAACGCAAGGGCATGGCGAAAACGACAACCTCAAAGAAGTTTCTTAACTAGAGGTTGCCAACAAAATATAATTAAATGTCAGAAATGTTCAAACAGCGTATCCTTGAAGAACGTCACTCGGTGTACTCCGTACTCGGCAGGTTAACAACGTTTCTGAGTTTCGGAATGGCACTGATTCAAGGCAGGCGGAACTAAATAATAAACCCGCAAACGGTCAAACAAACGCACTAAAGTACAGCTGTCTAGCTGCAAGCCTATTTCTGTACCTACCCTTGCAGATGGTGATGAGTGCTGGATAATGATCCAAAGAGGGTGCCAGATAGAAATCAGTGAAATGAAGTTCCTTCGAAGGAGTGGTGATGTGACAAAAGTCGGCAGAGTACGGAATACGGCAATCGGAGATGCACCCGCGTGCAAGCCGTACAGTCTCCATGTCAAGGAATCACAATTATGGCGGTTGTACATACGTCGGAGGAAAAACTCACAAGAGGGGGGGATTGGATTCTCTTGAAAAAATCACAGTAAAAACGGCCGACTAGCAGATTTAAGTTCCAACGATTCGATCATATTCCGCATCAAACAACGTAGCGGCTTCCAATCACAGTCCCTGCAGTTGACGCGACTGTCGGAGGAACTGCGCCGTTTGAAACACCTCACGAAGCTGCTGCCTCCACGAACCGAAAGCAACAGCGGATACTGAAGACGAATGAATGTAGGACTGAGGACCAGATGGCTAGCTGAACTGTATTCACTTTTAATTCAGTCCGCACAGCGGATCCGATTG